CTGGCTTCTCTGGTCCCTGGGGAAGACAGTGGCCGGCTTGTAAAAAGGCATGTGAAGTTAGAAGCGTGGCCCTTGAACAGCAGCTTTGGAAGCATTTAAACCCTTTAAAGGGAAAGACGGGTGACAGGTGTTTTTTGTCTGCTCCTTCTGTGGAGAGCCCTATGTTGATAGCCAGTTAGGAACTGCTTCTTTGTTTGCTACAGTCATGGGACACATGCATGGAAGCCTCTTTGACTTTTAAAGCCTGGTGATGGGAGACCGGTCCCTTGGGTGGCCGCCATACCAGCCGGGGTGCTAACTATGTACACTCTCCATCCAGGGAAATACCGATGACTTGTACGCAGTGTGCTGGAGGGAGGAGGTGGGCGCGGTGTCCTCTGGCTTCCGTGGGCTTTGGGGCGATTCGCATCAGCCGCTAGCAGACAAACCTCCTTCGCGGAAAGCCTGGGGGCTGGGTGGTTCTGCTGCTCCCTCTGTGCTAAGCTCTTCGGGGACAGCTGTGGCGAGTGCTATGCGCTCACTAAGAACCGCTTCTTTGTTGGCTGTGGTCTGTGGGTCTTACGGACAATAGTCCCGTTGACGTTCGGAGGCAGGTGTTTGGAGAGCCAGTCCCTCTGGTGGGTGCCTTGATGACTGAGGTACTAGATGCGGGGTCCAAACCTTCACCCCCTCCAGGAGAAGCTGGGGGTTGGGGGTTCCCTCCCAAAATATGGTGCAGTGCTGGGGGCGGGCTTTATGGCGAGAGCGTGTCTCAGCCTTTCCCACCCGTTTCAAAGTGGTCACTTTCTCAGCCAGCTGATGCGTTGGAGTTGCTGGCCGGTTTCTGGGTCTCCGTGTCAGTGCAGTTCAGCGTGTTTGTGGGGTAGGTAAGCTCAGGAGCGTCTCGTGTCACCACCTCGGTCTACTTCTCCCCACCCCTTCTCGTGCTTTCCCCGCTTCATGGTGAGTGCGGCTCTGGGCAGTCGCCATCCGTTGGGCTAACATTTCATGAGTCTACATGAGCTGGCGGGGGCGGGGGGAAGGGGTGGGGTAAAGATAAAACAGGTAAAAACCTGCACTGACGAAACTCAGAAGTTTAGTGAAGAGACAGAGAACCACATTCTAGAGTGACGAATGTGTAACGGAAGTCTATACAGTCGTCTGAGAGCTTAGAGGAGGTAGTGGGGTGGGTGGATGGCTTCATGGAGGAGGTGACACATTATCTGGGTCTTGAAGGCTGAGAAGGAGCTTCGCAGGTAGGGATGGGTATGCTCCCCTTAGACACCATAGATTTATGGAGAGAGAGAGACTGCTCTGATCCAGTACAGCCAGTACAAGTGATTTCCTTTGGGCAGCATAGTTACAAATCTGGAAGTCTTAGTTTGCCTTCCCGTTGCATAGGGAGAGTGATATCAACTACTCAGAACCCCTGGGAGAGCGGATCGATTTATGTGGTTTGCAAGAGCAAGTGTTTACTTACGAGGAAGCCTCCAGAGGGAAACAAAACACAGGGAGGAGAGAAGCCAGGCGTAAACGAGAGGCAGCAAACAGAGCCGGGCCCTCGTTAGCCTGTGAGGCATTGATCTTCCATCGCTGGCTTCCAAAACTTCCAGCAGTTTCCATGTAAAGCGTGTTCCATATTTTAAGACCGATTTAAAGCCAATTTTTGATTTTTTAAAAAGTTATTTCGTTAATAAAAATGCATTAAGGTTAGGGCCGAGGAGCCTAACTGACGGGCGCCGGCAGACGTGGGCTTGCCTGGCTGTATAAGGGAATATCGAAGGCCAGAGGCCGCCCAGCTTCACAGGGAAAACAGTGGAGAGTAGCCACGAACCAGCCGGAAGGAGAACCCCAGAACCGAATCGAATCGAAACGTGAAGAGGGCTAACGAGGGTTTCTTGTCAGTATTAGCAAAATTCAACCATGAGGGTCCATCAGACAGCTTCGGTTCCAAGGGGGAGGGGGCGCGATTAGATTTCCATTGTTAGATGTGTAGCGTGTCATCCTATAGAGATTTCGGGTCACTGGGACTGCAGAGGTCATCCACCAGGAGATCACTGCTGTTTGAGAGAAATGGAGGGAACAGAAAATAAACTGGCTTTAGTAAAATAACAGCCCTTCATTCTCTTCCCAAATGGAATGGGGCCTTTTAGTTTGATGAACTAGCTTGTCTGGTTCATCTCTTGACGTGTCCAGGAGCAGCGATGGTCGAAGCAAAGACACTTTGGAGACTCAGTGAATTAGTTCACAGAGAATGTGCTGGTCATTCTGTGTTTTTCCTTCCTCTGCACTGTCCCTGTGAGGCTGGACCCCGTGGGTCGTGTCCCTGGGACCCCTTGTGGCTGGCTTTCAGTTGGGTGTGGCCAGTGGGAGGTATTAGCAAGAAATCAGAGGCTGGGACAGAGAAGGTGTCCTCACTCCCGTCGCTCTGGGTCCATTTCGGGCAATGCTGGACCCTCCATGATCCTCTGCGGCTCCAGCTAATGGGGTTATCTTTAGGTAATGCCACTTCCTCCCCTTGTCCCTTCAGGCCTAGTGTAGTCATGAGTCCCCACTGAGCTGGACTCTGAGGCCCCCCACATTAGTTTGGTTCTTGTGACCCGACCCCTCCACTGTAGGTCACCTGCAATCCTTCCGTTAAAATCTCTTCGTGTGCCCACCCGAGTAGGCTTCTCTTTCTTGTGGGATCCTGAATGAATCAGGGACTTAAAAAACAGCAGCAAAAAGTGCAAGGAGTTGGCTTCCGTTCTCAGGCAATGGTGGACCAGCGGACTGTTTCCGTTCGGTCGGCTGACTGGCTTTGTTGTCACGTAAGAGGAAGATGAGGCTGGCCCGGGGATCAGAGCCAGAGGCAGGAAGCAGCCTCACTTCAGGGAGGTCTTGTCGCAGGGCTGTCTCTTCCTGAATTCCTTCTTGGTTAATCCCCTCCTGAGTTAACCACGCGTCCTCTCAGTTCTCATCATGTTGATTGATTGTGCAATTATGTGGCATCTAACAAATATAAACTCCACGAGATCAGGGACTTTATCCCCGGGGCCTATAACAAACCTAACCTATTAGATCGCTGTTTAGTACATATTTCTTGAGCGAATGAAGGAATGTCTTTTCCTTTATGGATGACACCCTTGCTCGACAAACATCTATTAAACGTCTGCACCGGCTGCTGCCTTGGGCCTGGGGATGCGGGGATGGGTAGAACACGGTCCAGGTGAAGAGATTCTTGCCTCTGTACCTTGTTGATGCAGCGCCCTCTGCTGGAATGCTCTTTACCATCCCTGTCTCACTGTCCTCTTGATGAACTCTGAGCCACCTTCCATGATTTCCAGGGGAGGATTATACACAGCTAGATATTTGCTCAACTTTGGTTTCGTCTATTACTGTCATTATTTATTTCCTGTAAGTCCCCCCGTGGCTCCCTTATGAGCCTCTCAAGAGATACACTTATCTGCATTTTCCAGCAGGATAACTGGCCTATGAAAACGCTCAATTGAATGTCTGCTAGTTGATGGCGTCTGCAGAGACGGGCCCCTTGGTCATCTATGCTTAGGGCCAGCTCTAACTTACTTTCTCCCATTTTTCTGAGTGGAACATTAAGGTCTTAACGATTTTTTTAAAAAAAATTCGGGCTACCTCAATCTCCAACGCCAAGGTTG